CATTTTTATCTTACAATGCCTAGATCAATAATTTAGCCTGTTTTGTAATTATTCTGAGACGGTTTTTATGAAAGAAAATTTGAGGGATATATTCGAACTTTTGATTGTCGTTATTGTAATACGAGCTCTAAAAGGTCATTGCAAATGCTTTATTAAAAAAATATAAAACTATTTGTGATGGTATGTACATTAACAGGGCAATGGTTTGCTATGACTTTTATAGCTATACTAGCTAATCTCGCGCGCTTTCCCTCGCTGCTTGGCTCCCACAGATCGTAACGTGATGTTTTATAGCCTTGAGCCTTTCTCGATAAAATGGACTAACGAACAACGACAAAGAATTATTCAATTCGAACCAGTAGTTCCGGAGATTAGCGCGTTCAAACAAACAAACAAACTCTTCAGTTATTCGTATAGATTATGTAGGTATGATACTATATTAATATTGAAACTTAGGTAAGTACAGATTTGTATCAACAATATATCAATTTGTTGAAGATAATAATTTATAATTAGAATTTGGGTCTCTTATAGAATGAAATCAAACATTCGGTTGCATCTTAAATTATAATTAAATAGTATATAGGTTGCAATATGATGCAATTGCATTTCAATAAGATAAAACAATGTCAATTAAATTCGTGTATTATAAACAAATTCGCTATCAACAGTGCATAGCAACATAAGTTATTCGTAGGTTTACAAAAACAAATTATTATTAATTAAACTGTTGTAATAATTTCTCCTTAACCTTATCTTATTGTAAATTTCAGCCGGGGCTGCGGGGTAAGCGCAATGAGGCACCGCGACCTCGGCCCAGAGCCGGAGAAAGAACAGGGGGGTTTTTAGTCAGTAAGAGTCTGACACTGGGTGGGAGAAGTCATTTGATGATTTACCCATCCCAAAAAAAAAATATCTTCTTGTAAATGTCCCGTAGGTCGAGTGCTCGTTAGATACATAGTAGCTGGAAGACCGGTTTGCTTCGTAACGTGTCGCGGATTCAAGTCCTACAAGGAACTCTTTGTATGATCCAAAGACAGGGTCATTCGTGTGTGCAGCAACGTTACATTAAGTGAGAGAGACCTAAGTTTCGGCACGACGTCAGTTCGATCGGAGTGACACCACGATCTCACAGATAACAGTTGTGTTTCGCCGTCCTTTCCTTCCCCCAATCCCTAAATCTCCATAACCCTAATCCCTAAAGGGTCGGTAACGCACTCGTAATTCCTCCGTTGTAACGGGAGTCCAAAGGCTAGCGCTGATTGCTTACCATCAAGTAATCCGCCAGCGATCCGATCAAATAAAAAAAAGTTTTTATTAAAAAAGAATCCGATCCAGAGTTCTATCGTTGTATTTATGTGTGTATAAAATATAGTATTAAGTACTAAAACATGGTGTACACACTATTTGCTTGAAACATTTTTCTAGAAATAGTTCTATCTCTATTTGAACTCAATCCCGCCCTTTACAGGTTTCTGATGTAGTGCTAACACCGTTTTTTTGCTTGCTCAGATACTTTCAGTAGTGTTAGTACTTACCTACTGATATCTACAAATACTTAGGTACTATCTAGATACAAGACTATACCTAATATTAAAAATGCGGAAGTTTGTTTTTCTGTTGCGGAAAAAATACTTCAGGGATTTGAATGAAATTGGGCTTAGACTTAGATCATATTCTAAAATTACACACATAAATCTTATAAGTAACAATAGATACAGATGTCGGACAGTTATTAGATCACCATAATATTGTTTAGGTCCCCGATTATATTTAATTAATAAAAAACTGCAGTTAGCTAGTATTCATTATCAAAAGCATAATTTAATACTAAAAGAAAGTAGTATAATCGATATTTAGAAGAGCAATTCTATTTGCTTATAGGTATCCGTTTTGTTAACTCCGTGCTAATAAAGAAAACTTCGCAAAAATCCGGTGAAGTTTCGCAAAATGTTTCGTTAGACTCAATGATGTATAAAACTATAGATACGTTGTCCGCGCTCTAAAATGACAACATGAAATGAAGGCAATTGACAACATCGCGCTTAGTTACGCACCAACCTGCCGCGCGACGCTACGTTTGTTTTTAATTTATATCGTGTGTGTAAACCTGTGCGAAACATAAAGAAAGCATGCCGTCGTGTGTGTTTAGACGATGTACAAATTATACTCCAAAAGTTAAAGACAAAAATGTGTCATTTCATGCGTAAGTTCACTAAACAACCTATTTTTGTTTTATTTTATCGGCGCCGCGCCGGCGCCCGCCATCTTATGGCGGCCGGCGCATGAAGGTATAGTCACGTGCCGATGTAACTGAAGATGTATATTTATCTCCCTCTAGCAAAGGCATTCCACTATACGATGTCATATTTTCTTTCTCTTTCTTTACTCGTAGAAGTAGTTATCTAGTATTTTCGCCGTTTTTAAGCGCCGCGATGTTGGTTCATGACGTGTCTATATATAATACGTCATTGGTTAGACTACTATCTCCATTATAAAAATTCACCTATGTCATACAAAAAAAAAAAAAAATACTATTTCTGAAATTCGATACATATTAAGTGACAGTATTACTTGATGCTGTACTGAAAACTTTAAAGACTATGCCAACACGATCTTATTATTTATATCAGATCATCATCAAGCCATTGCATCGGCTGACTAATAAATGTATTCTGTAATTAATATTAATCCTTGAGTAATGAATAAATTCTCTAGGGCAAAAATGAATGCTACTATTTATGCTGCTCTATAGGTTGAGAATTATAATTATTATTCGTGTACTTTTATTATTTATTTGTTATTTCAATTACATAAGATTTTTGCTTGTAATTTTATTTCTTACGTGCTGGAAGTTACTGGCTGGATAGCTTAATATATATTTTTTTAAATTGTCTAAAGTCTACAAAATAAATGTCAAATATGACAGAAGTGACAGACAGATAATACCTATTTGGCGCGAAAATAGGCGCGTGGTACTGGTAGGTAATAATTTTATATATGGTTGATATATGTTATGTTTTTGTAGATAGTAGGTAGATATAAATAGGTTTTTAAATTATTATAGTTAATGCTCGAGTTATTTTTTTCCTTACACGAGTTTTCCTATTAGGTACAGTTTAAATTCGTTTGGTAAACATTTTTATTAATATCGAGTTCAAATCATCATATATACCTATGTAATCATAATTATTATTGAGAGCCTTTAATCGTGATATACGGTTTATTTTATATCCATCTATATTTTTGTATTAATCTCGTACAAAAATTTGCCATATTTCAGACAATTTGTGATAATGTTAGGTAAAGGTAACTAAAAATCTTGATTATTAAGTAGACTTCCTTAGATCTTTATAACTATTCGGATTTTGATATGTATAATTAGATCTTAAGTATTTAAAATATTGCGTTTCAAATATTTTAGTGCAAAAAGCAGACAGAAAGAAAGGTAGAATAATGTTTTTTTTTTTTACTAGCCTATATTGTCCCACTGCTGGGCAAAGGCCTCCCCATCTCGCTTCCACACCTCCCGATCCTTCGACCGTGTCCACCAGTCTCGACGATAGGCGTCTAGATCGTCACGCCATCTTTTCCGGCGCCTACCCCGCCTGCGGCTTCCATCCTGAGGTGTCCACTCGGTGACAATAGTGGCCCATCTCTCCGGATGCATTCGGCTGACGTGTCCGGCCCAGTCCCATTTTAATTTTGCCGAATAATGATTTTATTTTAAAAAAAACCTATAGCAACTACACAAGGATTTTCTCCTCTGTCATGGGTTTTACAAACATACAAAATATAAACGTCTCACCTAGTTCTGATACAAGCGCGGATCTAGCCTTCAAAAAAGGTTGTGGTCACAGCTACTAGAAAATCGGCTAAGTACGAGTCGGAGCAAGGACATGCTCATTAACAATCATGCAAATCGTTTATGAACTTATGAATTAGATTTCCTTTTTTCTGAGCATCAGAACTTTGGCCGCGACTTCTTCTTATTTCTAATAGTCAGTTTCGATCCAAACCTATTTCAATCAGAAGTGTATTAAGGTTGTGGGCATGCCCATCGTGCCCACAACGGTGGATCCGCCCTTGTTCTGATATAGCGATCTGTTAATCACACAGGGTTGCTCCGTGGGGGAATTGAACACGTTACGCAGCAGCCCAGCCACTATGCTTTAGTTACTTATCTAATTATTATAGATTTATCCCATATAATCCCATGCAAATTATATGTATACTTCAAAATTAATCGCAAAATCTGGTGAGCGCATAACTCAACAACGCCTACCATTGCAAAGCAATTTCTAATAAAAGAAAATTTTAGAAAAGTAGAGGGGAGATCTAGGAAATAGGGATCCTTTCGTCGTTAGCGAGATAGTTGGAGACCGTGCGAAGCAGGGTAGTAGTGGTACGGTATAAAGTATAATATTAAAACTGCCGTGATTTACGAAACAAATATTAACCTATTGTAATATATTTATCGTAGGTGTTTTGGTTTAAAAGATATTAAATTTATTTAAGTCTAGTAGAATCTTTTAAAGATTATGCAAATCGTAATCGTTGTGATAATATATTTAATGCAGTTTATAATCTTATAATCATTAGATTTAGCTACCAATTTATGATGGTAAAATTTATTATATAACATAATATGCAGGCTTTTCGTAACACGTACTATGTACAGGATTTTTTTGACGATATACATTGAATTCCCACGCGAAACCGTACCATGCTATTTGTGTAAAAAGAGGTTTATTATTGTTGTAACTGTTATAAAAAAATATATATTAATTAGCATAAAATATGACGCACGAGTACTACCGCGGGAAACGTAAGCGTTTTGTACCTAATCTGTATTTCGGCAATTGTGAATATAAAAGTCCTGTTGTGGTTTAGTATAATGCATTGTTGTTTTGCGAGCCGTAGGCGTCTAACCGCGCAGCTACTGTCAAGGTCGCCCACGTGACGGGGAGTCTGTCCTAAGTACACCCCTACAGTCTGCACAAAACGTCTATCGGCACCACTCGCGTCTTACAATACGTGAAACAATATTCTATTTTTAAATTATCTGTATTCGATATTCCAAGTTTAAACATTTGAAGATTTCGTGTTCTGTGCTGTTTGTTGATGTAAGTACGATTTTATTCGGGTGCGTCCGTTCAAGGTCATGGTTGTTGTGAAAATTATCGAACTGTTGGTCGCCGGCTGAAGCTCTCGCTTTACGTTTAAGGGTTTATTCTGAGTCTGAAAAATAGTTTTTTTCTTGTACGTGCGTTTCTAATGTTCTGTTTACTGAATTTTTGTTACGCAAATACATTTTTTTTTGTGAAAAATGAAATATAATAAAATTGTATCACCTACGTAGATTAAACATAAAAGGTAAATGTGGAAAATATATTTACGTTAATAAATATTTATTTCGACAGGCATAATATGAGGCTGTTACAAAATGAGTAATGATTGCATGTCTTTGTTAGAATTAAAAAAAGTGTATTTTTTTAATAACCGGTGAACAAAGCATAAATACCAACTCATAAAAGTTCGAAGAAACTGTTCGGAAAAAAGTATTCAAATTGAGAACGATTTTTTCTATTTATATTTTTTCAACACTATTTTTAATGGCTTTATAGGGTTCTATTTACGATTTAACTCAACCAATGGGACTGCAGATGATAAAAACGGACGTTCAGTGATTAGCGTGTTTATTTTGACCATATGATATAAATAAACTGTGTAGTTCTAGCAAAAGAAATATGGCAGCCATAGAAGAGAAGTTGTATCCTAATTGTGATGCGACCGTTTGGCTCCGATCTTGTGAGGAGGAGGTGTCTGAACCTCTGGAAGGGGTGACCACAGGTTAGTTTCATTATTTTTATTATTTATTTGACTTCTGAAGGTAATGTCCTGATTTGCAAAGATATTTTATTGTTCTGATATTGTTTTTGGTCAGTTGCTATGCAAAGTGATGCGGATTCTATTTTCGCATTAATTATGTGTTATGTTTGTAAACACAGAAGTTTACACTTAGAAGTTTAATAGGGTACAGTCATTTAAGAAAGACAGATAATGTTAACAAAGTATTGTTATCAAAAATATTAGGTATTAATAAAAGACTGCACTTTTATAGCCGTGTCTATTTTATGGGGTACTAATATTTCTAAAAAGGACAATCCGTAATTGCCGTCATTTCCATATATAAAGGTAAAATGGAATGGTGTGAAGCACATGTGTCCATTCAATGCAAGAAATGTTGCTGCTTTAGCTATTATTATCTTAGACGATGTTCTGAAAAACCGCGTACAAGCTGCCATTGCAGGATTATAAATGATCAAGATTATTATGTTCTGTCAAAATTCCAAGTTTGATATTTCGAATTAGGTTAAAGTCTACTGTTATTTTCTTGTGTGTATATGAATTGTCAAACCTCGTATCCACTATGCAACATTCGACGCATTAAATACTGTATAACGCGAGTCTGAGGACGGTGAGAAAGAATAGCTCGCCGCCTAGCCAGAATCAGACTTGAGCGACTGTATTTGCAGTCCGCGCGCTTCTCTTCAGATAGGGCCTAGTAGGGCCGATGTCTAGCCAGGGTTGTTGATGCAAGCGCAAAGATTGAAGTGTAGTCCGGAGTCGAAAAAAGAACAAGGTGGGTTTTATTCTGTTAGTGTGAAACTCCCTCTTGCTTCATCCTGGGAGAGAGAGGTCATTTGATGATTTTCCCTCCTCAAAAAGAGGTTACAGGTGCACAATTATGCAGCAGAGCCTGGCTCAAAGCAGAAGAAGAAACAACGCGGTTTTTAGTCAGTAAGAGTCTGACTCGTCGTCCCTTTCGTCACACCCAGGGTAGAAGAAAGATGGATGATTTTCCATCTTCCAAAGAAAGACATACTGAGTGAAATGTAAAATGTTGCTCAACACAATATTGTTTGTGGCAGCAACATGTCTCTAGAGGAACTGGTATGAACTTTCATTTGATGCTCAAAAAGTCAAATCTTGCATGGTGGATACAAGGAATTATATGCATACAAATACTGAAATATAAAGATACGTGAAATTATGGGCCCGTTCCGAAATCTTATCTTCTACTTGGTCCGCTTTACACAGAATTTTGGCAGAAAATACCAAACTCATTTACGTGAGATCATTCGAAGATCGTTTAATATGCGGTTTATTGGGACACCGGTACCTATAAGATTATTTTATAAGCTTAGTCACTATCACAACACTAAACATAAACAGACAACTTCAAAGTCAATCACAATGTTATTTTTGCACTTCTAATGAGTTCCAAATGAAATAACTCCGTATTTTATAACTAGATACCTACTGCTAAATTTTGTTGCTTTCGTTTTTTCATTGGTAATCGTTTCATAGTTCTAATTGTTAGAGTATTTTATACTAATATCTGTTTTCTACTAACAATTTGTTTTTCGCAAATGTAACTGCTATTGTTTTGTTTTCCTCAAAATAACGCGAAACACATTCTGGACAACGAAAGCTGTATTTTACTTCTAATTATACAGGGTGTAAGGGACAGCCCTCCACAAATTAACAGGGTGCATTCAGCTCCTTATTCTGAATCATATTCCAGTGAAAATTCTTTCAGGAAAATTTTCAATTTTTTTTTCGTTTTTTCAGTTCCTACACCTATATTTCAATGTATAATTACGTTCTATGTATGAAGAATAACATTAATGTAAATAACACAGCTAAAACAAAAAAATACGCAATGGTTGTGTGAATTCTCTAAAGAACTACGCATGAAATCAGCTGTTCAATTTCTACCTAGCGCGAGTCGTTTGAACTCACCGCACCGCGGTCACGGCGCAGCGGCTCGGCGCCCCACCGCGCCGATCGCCGCGCCGCGCGCCGTAGGTATAATACCTACGATCCCGTCCAACGTACAGAATAGCTGCGTCCCTTTCTGTCGATTGAACCAGTGTTGCCAACTTTTAACTTTTGTTACCTCTTCTACCTTTCTACCTTTGTAAACGAAAATGTTAGAACTATCGAAATTTATCTAAAACTTGAGAACTCCTTTGCATTCATAATCACATTGATGAGATTTTCATTAATCAATTAATGAAAATCTTGTCGCGCACATAAATTGAATAAAAAATAAATAAAGATAAGTCTAGTTTTAATTTTAAAGCATTTACTAATACTACCTAATTTATTAATTGATTGTTCTTTTTAAGCGATTACTGGCTAGTATTTAAACTACTTACAGATTTACATGGCTTCACAATAGCCATGAATTGATAGTCGAGCCAGAAATTAAACACAATCTCCCTGGAATGGAAGCACAGCTTTCTATCACACTGCACTTTTATTATTCTAAATTAACTAAACAATGAAATTAGAATTAAATTGATTTAATCAATTCATTTCTCTACAAAAAATAACAGAATGATAAATTACGACCATGCATAATTTTTTATTTTTTACCCCGAAATTTTGTACCTAATTTTCGTGTAATTGGCAACAACAGATTTATGTTTGTGTGTGTCTCATCACATGCAGTCGCCATTGTGCCTTGCTGCGATGTTACTGTTTATGTTCCGCGAGCGTGTGTTGGTACGGATCGCTCGCGCATTCGGCTTAAAAGTTTTGTTATAAGTAGTGTTGTTAAGTTTTATTAGTTATGTAGTGTGTGAAGTGTAGTGAAGTTTTGTTGTAGAAATTGTGCGAAATTACTACCTAGGTACGTTTTGCGCGCGTGATTATGGGGAGATGATAATGTGTTGTAGTAGTGTAGGTATCCTGACCGTCGGCATCCATCAGACTCCAGGATAATTACTGGTGACTATCAACGCTTGCTAGAAAACCAGCCCATTATTCCCAGACAAAAAGGCGCCGAAAGACCAATACCTACGTGGATTTTGGAATTGGTTCGCTAACGTAACGAGACGCTACCACTTACCAGTGCTTTCCTATTTAAACGTAGTTTAGGTAGGTTTGGACCGCAACCGTGGCCAGCACGATCCCCAGACCTAACCCATTTGGACCCCTTTTTGTACGTAAAAGAAAAAGTGTTTGTGAGTGCGTGTGCAAGTGAGTACGAAATGCGAGACCGCATCACAAATGCTTTCCAGAGCCGGAAACCGGAGCGATTCTAAGGTACCTACGCATTTTTCTTTTTTTATCATTTATCAGTTACCATGTTATGATTGTTAGATTTTCTTTTGTTAGTAATGCGGCTATCTTTTAAATAATAATTTATTGTTATTAAAACGTGGCGCGAGCGCGATTATTAAATTGTCTTTTGTAAGTAATGCGGCTATCTTGTAAATAATAAGTTATTGTTATTAAAACGTGGCGCGAGCGCGACCGTTTGTCCGAAAGGTAAGGTCGCGGCGCTGCCCATAGCGTAAAGTAATAATACTAAAAGCGCTGCCGTTCGCTGCGTGCGTTTGCGGTGGTAGCGATACATTGCGTGTAAGGTAATGAAACAAATCGGTTTAATTGGATTCCCATAACGTTCCTGAAATAATTTCATGTACCAGTCAACTTAAGACGATATACTGAATCCACCCTATCAGTTTGCGGAAGGCTGTCCCTTACACCCTGTAGAATTTTTGGCAATGGCATTCGTTTAACCGAGCCATGTCCCAAATAAATAAAACTGCTCCGCAACTATAGCACTTATAGCTAAATTAAATAGAACTGTAATTCTATAAATAGTTTGCTGAAAGCACACCGCGTTTTATTGCTATCATTACTTTTATTAACACCGTCTGTGCTGCAAAAATAAGAGTAGTGACAACTCTACGCTAGTTGGGTTTGCTCGGTCAAGATAATGTAAACTGTATACAAATTATGTTCTTGAAATGGAATTTTGAATTAACTGGTATACTAGGAATAATGCTTGCTTATATTATTCTGACAATTAATAATATACACCGAGTTAGTAGGGTAGCCCATGAAGGGATTTTGTAGCTCGAGTGCGTCAGATTAACATATAGGGAATATTTAGAAACCTATTAAATATACTCATCATATACTTAATGTATACAGAGGATGGTTGAGGGGATGATAATATAAAAATTACTAAATACAGTCGTTTTCGTCAGATTAAGGATAGACAGGAAGATTTCATGCTAAAGAAAGTGCGTTTCAATAATGTGCCGAGTTCATATTGGTTTACAATAGTGGCAGAGCTGTGAACCGGTTCCCGTGTCTATCCTCTCAGACGGTCAACCCCACCGACGGTCGTCCCTACCATGCAGAGTCATGTCAGCGATACATAATTAATATCTGTCGAGCTCGTGCACTAAAACAAAAGTTATAGGTACTTAACAATTTTGGAAAACTATCAATCCACTCCCCCACCGGAGAAATGACGCCATTTTTTCTTTCGATCACCTAATCTTCAGAATCCAGATGCTCCCTACAACGCTTGAGTAACTGCAAATTTAGCATCTTGGGCTCCCCGACTTATTTTCTGGCTCTACCGTTCTATAAGAATTTTTAGGTAGGTTTATTCCTTTCATAAATAATGTTGTAGAGGAAAATAATATTTGTTTCATTAGTTTTTTTTCTTTTGTTGGAGTATGGCGTAAGAACTTGATAAATCACATTTTTTTCTGCTGTTTAGTTGCACAAAAGCACCATGTTGATTTTATTGCAATAAAATGTTGTTTATACTAAATTTGACATTCTGATCACAAACAAAATATACACTAAACAAAGTAAAAACATTAGTATCGTTATAATTCTTGCTATTATTAACTTCATCGTTTTTCTCAGGTGAAGTACCAAAATGGCTCCGTGGCACCCTACTACGCAATGGGCCAGGTTCCTTGAAGGTCGGAGACATGCGGTTCGATCACCTTTTCGACAGTTCCGCACTTTTACACAGGTGAAAAAACCATCGTAAATTTAAGTAAGACTTTACCTAGGTACAACATTTTTGTAGTGAAGACTCTCCGTACGCCGTACTCAGTTTCTTAATTATTACAATAAAATTGTTTTGGCACAAATACTTTACATACATAGTTTTAAATTTTTAGTTTTATATGTGCATATAGATTATATTTAATGTTTGATTATTTTTATTAGATTATATTTAATGTATGTTTAATAATCTAGTAATAAACAATGAATATAAACAACTAGTCCAGTATAAAGACAGTTCACATAAACTGAATTAATTCTGGATTCTTATACACTTGTCTCGACAAGCTAATTAGGCCCTATCCACACGCTAGGACCTATTTTTTTATGGAATAGGTTAATGATCAAACGGATCGCCTGATGGTACCTAGGTGATCTGCGCCGCCCATAGACACCAGAGGAGACTAAATCAGTGAAACATATTTTTTTCAATGTTTTATGATAAATATTTCATACCCAGGTTCGCGATTGACGATGGTCATGTGACATACCAGTGCCGGTTTCTCCGTACCAACACGTTGAAGAAGAATCGGGCAGCCAACCGCATCATCGTTTCGGAGTTCGGGACTAAGTCCGCCCCAGACCCTTGTCATTCAATATTCGACAGGTAAATAACTGTTGTATTATTTTCTATCGAATGAAAATTCCCCGTAGAGGAACGGTTACTTATTAAACTAACTTGAAGTGTGATTTTCCATGGACGTCTTTCCGTTGTTTGCCTATTTTCCGTATTAAATCGAGTTTTCGCTTCACATTCTAGCCAGTGGAGCGCAGTGCCGTGCTTAAATAATATCATCAAATGACTTCTCCCGCCCAGGGCCGGGCGGGAGGGAGTGTCAGACTCTTACTGACTAAAAACCCCCCTGTTCCTTCTCCTGCTCTGGGCCGAGGTCGTGGTGTCTCATTGCGCTTACCCCGCAACCCCGGCTGAAAATTTGACAGATGGTGCTCTTTTATTGCCACTATACCAAAAACTTCTTAAAAATCAAATACAAATAAGGAAGGTTTCCATACAACAAACGTTATTTTGGTACAAAACTCTTCGTCCCGAAGTAACTAACTTTATAAAAATAAATGAGTTATTATCATTGTGATCAGTTTCGCATTTTGCAGTTATGTATTTAAAAAAACGAATATTCTGATCAAAAAGAATCGTTAACAATAGGCCGACAATGACGTATGACTCAAGTGTTAATTAAGACTCGAAGCAAATTGCCGTGGAATGTAATGAAAGTTAATACCTTGTAGCGAAATTGTTTCTACGTATAGGCACGGTATATTAGACTATAAGCCGATTACGTAGCGTAAGTGCTAACTAAATATGAGCTAAAAATAGAATATGGTGCGTCCCGAAAACTACTATAACAATTTTGGTTCAATGATTGTTTGAAATTTATTCATACACTTTAGTACTAGTTTCCGCTGGCGACTTCGCCCGCAAGGTATGTTGATTAAAATCATTTCGATCCAATTCTCTTATCAAGCTGGAGATTATGACGAAACCCTTCTTGTGGAAGTCCTGTAAGCAAATAGTCCAGCAAGAAGGTCGGGGGTGCGTTTCGCGCTCGCCTCAAAGTGTCATCAGACCAACACAGACGGGGCCCTACAGGGCCGATGTTCGTTTGACTCTTTGAGGCATCATTTAGACTTTTAGACACTGCCATTTCCTCTTAGTATGCCATCTTAGTCATTTATTGACTTTCATCTCTCATTATATTATAATATCTCCAGAACAAATTCTCGAACAAATTTTAACAATGTTTGATGCGAATTTTCCTTTGTCTCTCACAGGGTAGCAGCATTCTTCAACCCCGCGGAGCACATGTCAGACAACGCTATGATATCAGTATATCCATTCGGTGATGAAGTGTACGCGTTCACTGAAGGACCTATTATACACAGGTAAGGATAAACTAAAGAATAATCCGCATGTTGAGCGTGGAAGATTTCGGAAAGCTTTTGTAGATAAAATTCAAAATTCAACATCAGCAGTTGGAAGTATTTTTTATGGTATAAGTCGGCAAACGAGCAGACAGATTACCTGATAGTATGCAATCGGCGCCGCCCATGGACACCCGCAGTACCTACCAAAGGAGTTACGAGTGCATTGCCGGCCGTTTAGGGATTAGGGATAAGGGTTTCGGATGATTAAGGATTGGGAAGAGATGGGGGGAAAGGGAGGGATAATCCGGGAATCTTACTCAAACGGCGAAACACAATGCTGTGGTTGTTTTCCGCCGCTTTAATGTAAGGTCGTGGTATCACAGCTATCGAGACCCTTTTGTGCCGAAGCATTGCTCTCCTACTCTTCAGTCACAAAGACGGGTCAAATTTTTTTTTTTAAATTTAGAACGTTGCCCCACATTAGAATTTTCTCCTGTATCTTGGGTGCGTTTACAAACATACAATTCCACATGCACATCACACCCAGACCCGGAACAAAAATTTGTGGATCACACAAAGAGTTGTTCCGTGCGGGAATCGAATCCGCGACACGTTGCACGGCAGCCAGTTGTCCAGCTACCGTGCCAACCGTGCAGTCTGAACCGCACAATGATGATAATCATTTACAGGACACACTGTGATATGCTAGGTTCAGTTGTTACTATGTACCGCAACGGGAAAATCGCGTGACGGTTTCTGTATGTATTGTGGTAGGTTTTTACATCTACAATAATGGACATATGTTTTCGCCATTTTGGCTATTAGTCTGATTGCTATTAGGTATATCTAGGGTCAGTCTATGATAAATCTATTACTTACACTAATAATATATACAATGTATGTATGCTGTGCACAATGTTTATATAGTTGTATGTGCAATAAAACATTTTACATAATATAAGATAAGATTTGAGTAAATTAAAAAGGTCAATAAACTCGCTTCACCAATTTAATTTTTGCTGGTTGATTGTTCGTCAATACTAAGGTATGCAGATAATATAAATATTAAATTTGAAAAGATTTTTTATTTTCAATAGAACTGGTTTTTAAATTATTTAAGTAGGTTATCTAGATAAGGTTACATAAAGTACGTATTCAGGATGAGGTCATTGACACGAAGGTACAGTGCTCTTAGTAACATTTTTGTTTGGGATAAGAAAAAAATATCCACATCGGTCCAGGCGTCTTCGAGTAATCGAAAAACATACATAAAAAAGAGTGAAAAAAAAGATCCCGACGAATTGAGAACCTCACTCGAGAACTTATTTTTAATTCGGTTAATAAAAATAGCGCTTTCTAAATAAAATACTAATCTCCTTCGCGTACTTTGTTTCTTGTTTTGGTTTTGATGGCTTCCCTTTCTTTTGTGAGGGGAAAATCATCAAATGTCTTCTTCCTCCCAGGGTCGGGTGGGAGGGAGTGTCAGACTCTTACTGACTAAACCCCTCCCCCGTTCCTTCTCCTGCTACAGGCCGAGGCCGCGGTACCTAATTGCGCTTGCCGCTTAACTCCTGCTGAAAATCAGCCCTATAGAGCTCCAGCTGTGGTGGTCTATTGGTTCTTTGAGGCTATGCTCGGGTCTGGTCCGCCGTCCGCAAACACGCGCTTACGGTGGCCGGAGATGACCTCGCGTGATGGCTTCCCACGCGGTTGCATTCTCGCACCGCCTTAAACGCACCAGCCCTGCGTACTTAAGTCAAATGTAAAAATAAATGCCTTAAATAAAACCTTAAACCTTAAAAACCTGTTGACTCTCGCCTTACCTTAACTACCTTAAACCTTAAAAACCTGATATTTGACTGTGGACTCTGGTGGTTTCCAAATAAATTTAGATACGTTTGACAGCGAAGGGCATTTAACTTTTATTACTTTTTACAATATCATCTTTGATCATAAAATACCTAATAAAATATTTTCCTTTATGAGTGTTTATATTTTGCCTTTTTTCAGAGTTCAAACATGATAATATATTGAGTCGTTTTTTTTTAAATAAAATTTTTGGTATTTTAATCGATTAAAGGATTTTAATGTGTGTGAATCTCTTTGCTCCACCACAATAATACAGCAGCCTCACAGAAAACCAGCGTTGTGCTTCACCAGGATAGTGAGGTCCCTAAATCTTCAAAACCTTAATCCTACGATGTTGTGGGCGGCATCGATACCGTTTGCTAAAAATAAAATAATAGTACATGTCCTTGATTTTGAATGCAACACAGTACCTACAAGTTATCTTTGCAATATACAAACGAGAAACTGAGCTAGATTAATAAATTAATAAATAATAATAGTCTGGAGTATTGCCAGGTCTTTGACCTATTTTCATTGAGAATTTCTATATTTTGCTCAATCTTAGTACTCCCTGGGTTCTGATACGAAGTATTTTAGCTTTAATTAAGTATGATGAATTTATCGGACACGTGCTGGGTGCATAATCACGTCTTAAAATAAAAACATTAATTTTGTAAAAAAATAACATTTAATAAAATACCTGACCCTAACCTGTGGATAAAGTTTAACCTCATTTAACCTCGATTTTGCCGAAGAACTTGTTGAGATAGGACAGTGTACCAAAATATTTATTTGAGATAAGGCCATTTCTACGTGATAAATAAACGAAACGATAAACACAATGATGCGCAAAAAAGAAAACAATTTTGCTGAGAACATCGTAGATTTAGCATGAGGTTTTGGATTTGATTATTCATATTACATGTACAAGTGTGTTATTCACATTAGGTATATTATTTCAAGCATCTAATTCTAGTATAAGTAGTATCAGCAAAAGAATAAACACTTAAAATCGAATAAAGACCCTAATATTTTTTTTTGTCGACTGCGAATCGAAGGACCAAAATTGAAAATATAGTGGTCCTTTTCCTCATTACCATACCTACTTACGATATGAAGAGCAAAGTATTTCCAATTCATAACTTTTTGGTAATAGCTTGACAATTAATTGAATTTTCAGATCACTGTTAGGTTTTTTACTTGCTTCACATTGTATAACTACTATTTTAAAAATTAAACATTTTTTGAGACTTACACAAAGGTCGTGAAACCATCTTTTATAATATTGTACATTGATTGACAATCAATACCCGACAGGTACTCTACTGAATATTTTAATAGAATATATTCTACTTTTTATGGGGAAAATCATCAAGTGCTTTTCCCGCCCTGGATCTCAGGATCTAGAATGTCAGATTCTCATTGTCTAAAACCCACCCTGTTCCATCTTCTGTGTATTATATGGTACATCATTGCGCTTTTATACTCAACCCTAGCATTTATACTTTTTGTATATTTATTTACAGGGTAGACACAGTCACCCTGGACACCCTTGAGCGCAAGAACATGACGAAATGCGTTGCGCTCGTCAACCACACCTCACATCCACACGTCATGCCTAATGGTAAAGTATATTTTACTTTTATTATACTACGACTCCTCTTATTTTGCTTTAGTAGATATGTGATTAGTTCTAATATTAATTCTAGTTAATTTACTTTATCGAAATATCATTTTATAACTAAAAAATGCAAAACATTTATATGTTGTATTATATAATTTATTTTGGTATTATGTTTAAGACTTATTAAAATGTAAATCTTGTATTTTTACAGGGGATGTCTACAACCTTGGTATGACGATAGTGAAAGGCACAATACGACACGTTGTCGCTAAATTTCCTTACACAGAAAAAGGTAAACAATATTCTTTCAAAATAAACATTTATCATTACAAAAGTATTTTTAAGTTAAAACTAAAATGGTTAATTATTTTTCCTTTTAAACTTGTCTTTTTTCCACTTCATGACAAATTTTCCACTTCATGGAGGCGAGCCTTAAATTCTGATAATTCGACGCATTTGCCAGAGTTTGTGTTACCCGAAGGGTTTTACCTGCGAGTTTTCAAGGCAAAAGGCCTGTCAAAAAAAGGGCACTATTGGCCAAAAATAACCCATAGTATAAATACAACTATCCATAGATGGACAAGTCATTAAAGTGGACAATGGTGGTGCACAACTCCATTCTTAGATATTTAATTGTTACTGTTACTGGGCCTCGTGTAGTGAGTTTGATTTCCCATCAGAACAAATCTCTACGTGTAATCCACAATTTGTTGTTTTGGGTGTAAAAATGTATCCACGACATAGGAGATAATCTAAGAAAAAGCCAAGATTCCTTTTAATGTGCAGAGGTTTAATAATAACACTTCGGTTTTCAGGCGACATGTTTAAAAGCGCACGCATTGTAGCATCGTTGAAGCCACGGTGGACACTTAATCCTTCTTACATGCATACTTTCGGTAAGTTTCATATCTAATGTATTAGTAATAGAATAAAAAAGTAATTTGCATAGTCAACAATAAACTATTTCGACTTCATAATGGAAGTTAGATAAAAAACGTTGCGTCACAACACAGTCTGGTAAATAAAATAAAACAATAAAAAATGACTCATTTTCATAATACAATACAATACTTATTTTTTCCTAAAAATGAATTCCCAAAGGAGACCGACTGATTGCCATTGTTATATAAATGCATACGTAATTCGAAGTGTTGTGTAATGGTGAGAATATCTGCAAATGCTCCATTATTTTTTGATTTAAGAACCTAACCTGAGATATCAGCCTGATTAAGTAAATAAACAAAACACATAATACCTTTATACTCATAACACGTATTTGATTTTAAATTTGCTTAAATTCTAGGTATAACTGAAAATTATTTCGTGATAGTGGAACAGCCATTGTCAGTATCAGTTCCTGGTCTGATGCGAGGTCTCATCACCAATGACAAGCTCGTTTCCAGCTTGCAATGGAATCCTGGTTATGAGGTCAGTTCTAAACAATTTCTAACTTTTTCTGTTGACTGCGAATCGAAGGAGCAAAATAGAATGTAATATAGATTAATAAAGTGTATCCATTTCAAACATTAAGAAAAATTTTGTGACTACTTAATTTCTAAATTTTCTTTTGTAAATGTCATAAAATAGCACTTACTCATGTCAAGCTATTTTACTCAAACACCTTTAAATATTTGGTTTAAGGTACGACTAATGTTCGTCGTTCGTTTAAAGTATCGTTATAGGTAAATTTACCTATATACTAGCAGTTCAAAATTACGTACGTTCGGGAGCAACTGAATTAATATTTGTCATTGTCATTTAGTTTCGTAGTATATTATTTTTATTAGTTAAAATAATCAATGGTTCTTTGTTTCAGACCCACATAGTACTTCTAAGTCGGTCCACAGGCCGAGAAGTAAAGAGATTTCGTACTGAAAGTCTATTTTATTTGCACATCATCAACACGTTTGAACGGGATGGCAACCTGATTGTGGACATCTGTACCTATAAGGACGCTAAAGTCATAGACGCTATGTACGTGAAGGCTATTGAGGTTAGTTAGTGGTGAATAAGTTATTTTACACCTGATTTTAATAATATTGACTAGTCTACATCCTTCTTCAACTATATCTATGCAAATATCCAAGAAGATTATTAGGTTAGTACATAAGTTCGAAAAGAGGTGTTACACACAGTCAAAAACAAACAAAAAAAAATAAAAATTTTCCTTTAATAATATTAGATGAGCATAGTATAGTTATAGCCTATATTCATTGGAGATTGTGTAACTTCCCAACAGTTAGATAAATAATATTTGGTATTCGTGGAATCATTGAGTCTTTGGTAACCTCGCTCACACTGGGAAACACAAAACTGGCTTAAACATTGTTCCACGATACCACGATCCACACTGTTCGATAATACGGTATCATCCAGATCGAGCCAGCCCTATAATTCTTTTTTATTACGTTTACAGTCAATGCAAAGTAATGCGGACTACGCGAATTGGTTCCGAGCACGACCTAAGAGGATGGAGGTATCGCTGGACGCACCTAACCTCACTTATGTGGTACCTAGAATCCTAGCTAACATCGGCTGTGAGACCCCAAGACTGCACTATGATGATCATAATGGTAAATATTTATTTGTTAATCGAAAAAGCTGTTTTTGGCATGAGTCGCCAAACTAGAAGACAACTAGACTGATGGTAAATCGTATTGCCCAAGGAGTTACTACACGTGTGAATTCGCCCTTTTGTGGTATATTTGGGATTTAGGGGTAGGGGATTTCACTTCTTATATATTACTTCATTATTTATTAAGCGAATAAACACATACGTTTAATCATAAGTGTTGAGCTCATGGTCACATTTTATGTATTTCAGGAAAACCCTACAGATACTTTTACGCCATCAGTTCTGATGTAGATGCTGAAAATCCTGGAATGGTAAGTCAACATACCTACTTATTGCATCTAGTATTTTTTATTCTGAAATGTAAAAAAGCGCATATTGTCACATAAATACATTGTATTTGCTCCAGAACACGTGCGGATTTTTTTTATGTATGTTTTCTGGGTTAAGTCCAAAAGGACCACATTACCAGGTAAAAGGACCACATCAAACTTCTGTTGTTTTTCAGGTTATAAAGGTGGATACGAACACCGGCGAGACGAAGACGTGGTGTGAGCACAACTGTTACCCGAGCGAACCAATATTTGTGCCAGCTCCTAACGCTAAGGTGAGGCAATCGGATACTTTGTTTAATAATAGAAATATTTTTCAAAAGGCGCCAAAAGAAGTTGGAGTACATAAGGGGGTTTTCCAAAGTCTTTAAGTCTCTACGTTCGGCTGGATTGGAGATTGATTAAAAGGTTCAGGTTTATTTGATCTCCGTCAACTGAGTAGTATAAAACCAAACCTGGATTCTCTTCTATGTCGTAGGTGTGTTTACCAATGCCAGATCCACGTGTGCCTCAAGGAGCCAATATAACACTATATACGAGGCCCTATAGGGCTGATATTTAGCTGGGGTTGCGAAGCCAGTGCAATAAGGCACCGCGGCCTCGGCCAGGAGCAGGTGAAGGAACTGGAAGTTGGTTTTTAGTCAGTTAAAATCTGACACATCTTCTCGCCTCACCCAGGGTGGGAGAACACAATTGATGATTTTCCTCAAACAAAAAAAAAACCGTAATGAAAATTGATAATTAATGCTCAAACCTTCTCCGTGTGAGGAGTGACCTTCGTTTAGTAAGCAGCTTGTCAAGCGTAGAGAATATATTTAAAAAAATCATCTGTCAACACATTTTATTGAAGAATTTATTTGAACTAACCTTTTTGTTCCAGGATGAAGACGACGGAGTTCTTCTAAGTGCTTTAGTGTGGGGCGGTGACGTCACAAACACAGTGGCAGTATTAATCCTAGACGCTAAAACTATGCAGGAACTAGCTCGATCCACCTTCGACACTCCCTCACCAGCTCCTAAATGTTTACACGGCTGGTTCTTACCGACTAACAGTTAAACATTATCAAAATAAGTTTAGAATAGTGGCCTGTTTCTCAGTCAATCTATTTTCATCTTGCTTGATTCGAACTAAGTCTCCATTTTTAGGAAGACTTAACTAGATGCTGTTTGTGTTGAAAAAAATATCATATTTTGTACTCGAAGTTTTCAAATAATAAAAAAAATATTTTGCGATTAATATGTATATATTTTGCGACCTACAAATGAAATTGGCTAAACATGGTCGTCTAACCTCAAATGCGTTAATAAATAGAATAAGAACAAATTTCTAAGAACTTATAGATGATCTGCGAATCTGGCCTTAAATGTTGTGATAATGTTAAGAGTATTATTGGTTAAAGAGAAATTGGTCAGAGGCCATATTGGCCTTTGACGTTACTTAGTCGTTTAATTAGATCTAATAAAATTAATGATCTCTGTTGTTGATTGATGTGCCGTATCGTATCGTAATTTTAATGTATTCATATTTTTGTCGTCTCTACGTAAAATTGCTTTAGTAATCTTTATTTTTAGTTCTTCGGATATAGTTCTAGCTCTAGTTTCGTTTTTACTCCGAATTACTTTAAGGTTTAGATGTTAATAATGCAGACAGATATTGTTTGACATTACTTATATATACTTTTATAATTTTCGGACAGAAGGACCAAGTAGCGATTTGGTCCTTTTAGGTTAATCGTAGTAGTTAGTCAGAATTTATTACGTCATTATTTCTTTAAATAAATAATCTAATTTCACTGTACCTATATTACTGAAAATTAATTTGTAGACTTTGAAGACTGTTTTATTATTTGAATTAGTTATGATTTTTTAAGTAATTTGTGAAGTGACGATGAAACGAGACATTGTGTTGATATTAGTACACTTTAACAGTAAACGCTTTTTTATGTTTAATAAATAGGATTCAACTAATATTTGTGATTTTGTTATTTTTCATCTAAATACAGTTTATTACACCTGCAATGCGCTGAACAAATTACTGACGAAACTTTTCGACGTGATACCTAGACTAGTTTCAGACCACGCGAGGGGCTCATAGTCATGAGCAGTATTGCGCACCACACAACTCGCCGCGAGTTACGCAATCAACTGTACAACTAAAATTAGGCTCGTTCATTTTGGCAACTCATTTTCATTATGTACATTGTAATTTTATTACCAAATATAATGGTTATTGTTTGGAAGTACCCTATATTTACTATGCCATACTTTTCGAAGAAAATGTTATGTGCGTAGCAAATTTAATTAATTATTTCTTACTCGTACTATCAATTTACTATACTACCCACGCCCACGCATCAGGCTAAAGAATTAATCCAGCTAATCGTTTATGTACATTGTTGAACACACTACTTCGTTGATAACTAATATCACCAATGTATTAGATAAACATTGACCAGCACCGGTGTCATGAGCTCAGTCGACTGTACCACTTTGCGCGGGACTTGTGAAAAATCTAGAAGATTTATAGTATTGAAGAAAGTGACTAAAGAAATCTTAAACAATGAATGACTCCGTCGATAATGTTACAGAGGATTGGCACAAATATGTGACGTTAGCGCTTAGTGAAGTGCCGTACAGTTCCCAAGTGATATTCTCAATAGCACTGCTCTTCATTTTCATCGCGAGTCTTGTTGGCAACGTCCTCACTTGCATCGTCATCTACTACGACAAGACAATGCACACCGTTACAAACTGCTACCTCTTCAACTTGGCTGTGTCTGACCTACTCGTGACGTTTCCTATTTTAATAATTATCTACCAGCTCCTGACACAAAAGCACGAGCTTTTTCAATATAACAATGGAGTGTTCTCGTGTAACTTCGTGATGTGCATACACTTTTTGATCATCGGGGTCCTTTGGAACAACAGCATCTTAGTGATGACGGCTCTATCGATAGAGAGGTACATAGCAGTGTGCTATCCGATGACTTTGAAGCGCACCGGCGTATGGCAAAGGGTCGGGAAGATTCTTGGAATTATTTGGACGATCGCAGTCTTGGAGACGGTACCAGAGTTCTGGATGCTAGAGATATTCAACAGTGGAAGTACTATAATTTGCTTTTCCACGCCGTCTTGGTTCGGAAGGATAGTAATGGCAGTGAGTGCTGTCCTCACGTTCATAGTACCACTGGCTATAATGATCTTCGTATATTCCAGAATAGCGCTTAGAGTAAACCATAATAATGTGGGACATTTTGATGGAGCAGTTTTTAATAGTGGATTTAAAAAGAAGAAAGTTAATAAACTTATACGTAAGTATACAATATGATCAATTAAAACGAACACGATTCAAATATTAATTACATTTTAAGAAAAGTTAAACTAAAACTTAATTCTTTTTCTTAATTCAAAGAACTAAACCTGGTTTTAAACGCACCTAAATGGTTTTGCGAGTCCTACCGCTGCGCAGGAGATGCTATTGCCCTTTTTACGAATATGATTGAGCAGTTACTAAAGTACCTATATAAACCGACTGACAGAACCTATATAGATGTATAATCTTAAACAATTCTGACATTAATATACATTTTCATTTTACTTAAATATCAAATTGAAACTGGTTTTGAACTAGTATTTATTAATTAATATTTTATAAATTGTCCAATACCTTTGATTTGATCGACACTAATTGGTTGCTTTAAGTTCTTGAAGTAAATTTATACATTTATTGTACGTAACTAGTTATGTTGCATTTCCCTAAGCTTCCTTTTTTTCTTTTTAGTTACGCTGACTCTATCCTTCGTATTCTGTTGGCTGCCATGTTTCCTACTAAAAGCGTTGATGTTTGCAGTCCACTACAAAAAATTCGCTCATCTACATAAGGTATATTATATGTTATTCCTCAAGTGATTTTAGTTTTAGTCACATGGATACGAAAAGGCATGTACTAAGTATTCGATGTAAATTGTAATTAAATTCATTATCATTTCATTCTGAAATGCGTTTGGATGCAGGCCTCTTTAATATGTTACTGAGTGCGTTCCTCATCTTTATCTTTATATATAAAAATGGATCGCAAAATGTGTTGGTAAACGCATAACTCAACAACGCCTGGACCAATTTTGCTAATTCTTTTTTGGTGTTTGTTATTGTTAGGAGAAGGTTCTTATCAAAGAAAATATTAGAAAGGTAAAGTATAAGATTCGAAAAAAGTGACACTTTGATAGCGAGATATTTGGACCCGTGCGAAGCGGGGGCGGGCCGCTAGTTTATAATATACTTGTATCAAACTTTCGAATTGTCGTGGGCTGGAGGTTAAATCGTCCGCTTCTCATACACGAGGTTTCGAAACCTGGCGAGTATTCATGTACTAAGGCTTTTATTAAAGTTATATGTATTCTCTAAGATAATTAAGACTGACCACTGAAATACGAGGAATGAAAACATCGTAAGGGGGCCCTTTAAAATTGCCGATTCGCCTTGAGTAAGCGTTCAAAATTTCTGCGTTTAAGCAGAGGCCTTTGCTCAGCTATTGGCATTTAAAAGCTGGTGAAGAGATGTGTATCACACAAGAAAGGTGTTGTACAGTTCATGGAAGGGGGAATGCTTACGCTCCTCAGCAGACTAATTAAGACTGATGATAATGATGATGATGATGATGATGATGATGATGATGATGATGATGATAACATCATTACAATTCAGACTGTAACGGTATTATTCTAATTTATAGCATCAACCTTATTATTATGTTGATTAGTGTTCATTATTGTTTTTGCTTTTTGTTTTACAGTGGTGGTCAGTAGCGAACAAGATAGCTATGTTCAATAGCTGGTTACCGACGGTATTGAACCCACTGCTGTTCAGTGCCATGTCAACTAAATTTAGGAAATCTTTCAAGGTAAATCATTATGTTTCATATATTTGAAGTACACAGAGTGTGAATTACCTAGTAATTAGTAATAATAAGGAATGACGAATAAATTTTTAATTTAGTAGTAGTTTTTGGATTCAACACCATATTTAATCTATATAAATAAAAATGAATTGTTGTTCGTTAGTTTGATTAAAACTGGAGACCGACTGGACCGCTTTGGATAATCTAAGTTTTAAAATATTCGTTGGAGTCCAGGGAAGGTTTAGAAGGCCAGAACATTTACTTAGTTATAGATATTTGATACGGAGTACAGCTACAGTACAGAGGTCAGCTAGTGCATTAATAAAAGTCCAAAATTCAATTCTGGCTTAGGCCCCTTGAAAATATAAATAATGTCATTGTATCCTACTATCTTACAATATAATATAATAAATGTGAAAGTTTGTGAGAATGTATTGATGTATGTTTGTTATTCTTTTACGCAAAAACGGTTAGACCGATTGGGTTCAATTTTGGTATGTAGAGCTTTTTAGCAACATACAAAGCGGGCGAAGCCGCAGGTCAAAGCTAGTGCACAATAGAATATAATGCAAAACGTGTTACTCATGTAATAGCGACGTCACTGTTTATGTAAACTTTTCTTATGTGGAAACCGATTGTTATCATAATAATAATATATCGAACGATGACGATATATTCTTTTTTGTAATCTGTATCTCCAGCCAGTTATTATCTAAATTATAACCTGTTTAAATTCAAAATCTGTTGACATAAAGCGAATTTCAAAAATCGATTATAATCCACAGACTTCATAGACTATAGTTTACTGTATTATTGAATACACTAGGTTTTTTTATGGTATATATGGTATAAAGGTCGGCAAACGGGCACAAGAATTACCCGATGGTAAGCAGTCAGCGCCGCCCATGGACACCCGCAACATCTAAGGAGTTGTTGTCGAGTGCGTTGCCGGCCTTTTAGGGATAAAGGCTTAGTATATTTAAGGACTGGGAAGGGATGGGGGATGGGGAGAGTTTGAGCTTCCGGTAACCTCACTTACACGGCGAAATACAACGCTGTTGTTGTTTCACACTGGCTTTCTGTGAGGCCGTGGTATCACCCCGGTCGAGGCGACCCATTCGCGCCGAAGCTTGGCTCTCCCACACTTAAAGACTAGGTACAAGAGGGTCACGCTATCAGCCTTTCTTCCAGGAAGACCACCACGATCTTAACATTTGGTCAAAGCAATAAATAGAAACCTTTAATCTCCATTTGGTCAGAATTGTGTGCTGTTATTATAAAATTCTGCTTACGTGGTATATGTAATTAGTGTCATATCTATGTTTGCAGAGGCTTTGCGAGAGAAAACTTAGGAAACGAGGTGTAAGAAGCGAAAAATGTGAAGCGAGCAGCTGTGAGCGTGAAAAGTCAACAAAATATTATCAAGTTGAGTAAACATTTAAAAATTTGGAATCTCAAACGATAAACCGACAAGGGGATGTGACGTAGCACAGTCGGCCAACTTGTACACGTTAGAATATAATAAAAAATGATTCAGAACAGAGCTTGTAGCTATTGTTATAAGGATGTCATCCGGGGTTGCGGGGTAAGCGCAATGAGGCACCGCGACCTCGGCCCAGAGCAGGAGAAGGAACAGGGGGGTTTTTAGTCAGTAAGAGTCTGACACTCCCAGTAATTTGATGATTTTCCCCTCACAAAAAAAAAATAAGGATGACATTTTTTCAAATTCTTTTCTAAAAATAAACCACGAGTTCGAATTTTAAAAATTAATGTATATTTAATTAAGAGGTACATAATTTTTTTCTCTATTCTCACGGCATCAAATACATCGCCAGTATATTGATTTGAAACTAAAGTGTGACGTCACGATTGTGTATATTTTATATTGAGCGATGACATAGTAGACTCCTAAACTATAATATTCGAATCTAAGGATGTTATACTTAAATAAAAAAAAAATATGCCCAATATTTAATAGACAGTTAAATACACAATTTCCTTATTTTAAAATAAAATTCCTAAACATTGGTCAGTTAAATAGCCGAACAGAAAGTAGGTAGCTGTAGTTCTTTACTGAATCAATTAAAATTTTCAAACTGCATACCAAATTTCTTGACCGATTGTTTTGTAGATCCTGTTCTGAGTATAAAAAGTACAATAAGTATTGTTTGTGTATGTTGTGTATTGTGTGTGTAAATGTTATATGGTGTACAAGTAAAATATTACAATAAAAGAAACATGTAAATACATAACGTTGTTTAATTTATTTCGTTTAGTTTGAACGCAAAAAATTATTTGAACGCGGTCATTGCTTTGATACTACAACGTTCAAGAACATTTACCTGTTTGTCTTATTCTAAAAGGTTGTTCATGATGTGTGAATAACAAAAATACTATACATGGCTACTGTCTACGGCCATCGTAAGTGCGGGTCTGCTAGCAAAGGACGCTCGACCAGAACCAGACCCGAGCGTACGGCGCGTAGCATTCCATGCGCGCCTGAAACAGACAGTAACCGATGTTCTTTTCTAAATAAAACAAAGTTTAAATAAATTTTGCACATAAGGATATGTTTTTGCTTAGGTCAATGCTTGGTGCTAGATAAAATATAATAAAAGAAAAAAAAACAAATAGAGTTAATGTTTTGTAAAACCTACTATTACCTAACCTATGGAATATTTATTTTTATGTAATCGGGCGGAAAACGAGCTTTTGGATTAACCTGATGGTAAGCAATCAGCGCTGCCCCTAGACACCGTTCACGCGTTCCTGACCTTTTGATATATTTGAAACAATAGCACATGTAATACGATACCGAAAGGAAATCGCTATTCTGGTTTACATCATGTCAATCATAATAATATTATTCAAAAACATTTACTTATTTCTTTTTTTAAACGTTTTTCCACAATAGCATATCCTCGATATAAGTATTATTATTCAGCCACCGCTCCAAACGTGCAGTCAATATTTCATTCAGATGAAAGGCAGCGGCTTAAAAATTATAATTAGTTCCCGATTCAATAACTTTCCAATGATTAATATACATATGTATGTGTAATCTAAGTATGTTTTGATGAACCTACTTCAATGGCCATGGAGCTTAGTAAAGCGTTAGCGTTTATTATATTGATAAGATACGAAATATATTGTTTTATCATAAATGGTTTAATGGTGTTTATGACCCGGTGTGCTTAATGGTTGGTAAATAAATGTTGTAAATACAAGGCCAACTCGATGCCTGGCTTTTTCATTAAAAAATACATTGAAACATTCCAGTTAATTCAAGTTTGGGAGAGTCAAGCTTCGGCACGAATGGGTCGACGGGATTGATACCACGGCCTCACAGGAAACCAGGATGAAGCAATTCTGTGATAAATCTTATAACACAATCCCAGGTCATATACAACAATTAAATGAAAGAAATGTTTTATTGTGTATAAAGAAAACTTTATTTAGACAGCCATAACTTAGAAATAAACTTTAATAAAACCAAAATAATTCCATTCTACCCTCGCCAAAAACTTCCGATAAATATAAACTTTAACTTCACCTTCACCACCCACACTCTTACTTTCTCCGCGAAAAAAAAAAATAATAATAACAGACCTTAAAACCGCATTAACAACATATGCGTACGCTTACGCATGACCCAAATAAGGTGCAACCTATGGGGCAACAGTACCGGACCGGGGCACCAACGCTATTTACTCTACAAAAAAACTAATTAGAAGATTAGTAAATATTTCAGACACCGACAGCTGTAAACCCCACTTTCAGGAACTCAAAATCTTTTCATTATATATTTACCTACCTACCTACCTACCTACTCGTACCCTGCCTTTATATATTTGAAATTTGTAAGTTCGTACATGTGCACCCAGAATTCTTTACAAAAAGAGAGGACATACAAACAAAAATTTCAAAAAACTATAAAAATAGCGTAAATATACGTCTAACTAACTAACGTCTCGCCCTGTTTCACCCGCTGCCCGGCTCCATTTGATCGTGACAGGCTGTGAACCGCACGGCAGAACCTAGTAATTAAATATGATGGTTGAAACATATTTATTTAATTACATATTATGCATCCTAGGTCTAAACTGTACGAAAATAGGATGGTTCGTCCGAAGCACTAGATCCGCGGTGAACACTAAATCTTCAGGTTTTGTGATTGGTACCAGCTGGTACTTCCACAGCAACTCCGACATCACTGTCTTCAACTCCATCATGGCGAACTTTTGACCTACAAATAAAAACATTTTTTTTAACTGTGTAGCCGACTCGAGTGATGTCATGTGATATACACCCTGGTTTACTTAAAGTCTTTTTTGGCGTATTAAGTGTTGAAGTCCAATGACGATTGTAAGACATTTAATGTAAGAGTATGTAATAGGGACGACAGCGATTGACCTTAAAATTAAAGTATTAAACAAAGCTTCAACGATACAGGAGAACAACAACAAATATAAACGGCATAATAAAATAAAGTCACTAATCAGATAAATTCACAGCCGAAACTAAAACAAACAAGATTAAATAACATTTACAGTGACAGCTGCAGTGACAGCTGTACATGTTATATAATTTTCTTTTCTTCTCCCGATAGATTTTTTTTATTATTTGTAAATTGAACCATAGCCTTAGAATACCACGAACTGGGAAACCATCTTCTGTTCCTGTGCAGCAGTGTTACTCGCGAAGAAGGAGGCATGCGGGAGGTATCCTAAGATCCAATAGACCATCCCTCACCACCCCCTACAGGGCCCATGTTCAGCCGGGGTTGCGGGGCAATCGCAATAAAACTTCGGCCTAAAGCAGGTGAAGGAACGAGAGATTTTTAGTCAGTAAGAGTATGACACGCCCTCTTACTTCACCCTGGGCTAGAGAAGTCATTTGATGACTATCCTCTCAACAAAAAACCTTAGAAAACATACCTATGCAATTCCTTGGTCCTGCGCTGAATGGTATGTAGCTGTAAGGACTGCGGGTCACCACATTCTCTGGTAGGAAACGCTCGGGGATAAACTTCTCAGGGTCAGGGTACAGATCGGGGCTGCGGTGGAGATCGAACACGTTTACGTTGCAAAATGTCTTCTTTGGAATCGTGTAGCCGCCTGGAGAAGGTAACTTAATAACAATACAACAATAACATCGGTGCTTGCCAGGTTTCGAACCTTTCAGGCCGGGACATTCTCATCATAACCTGGTCACTTGTACTTGTTTCATTTTCGTAATATTATTCAAACGAGTAGTTTTACGTGATTTTAAGATGGTCTAGAACACACCATTGCCTCTTTTTCTATACTCAATTAAGTTTTTGGACCTTGACATAAAAATGCTTAAATAACTAAGTACTACCAAGTTTACGGAGTACACTCAGAATATGTGTATTTCACATGGAAATTATTTTACCGACGTGCACCGAGGCGATTTTTTACTAAGGCGCCTAAATGATGTAACGCTAGGTTTTAAACTGTAATTTCCCTAATAGCAGCAAACTTTTATTATTTCAATGAGGCTCGTGGTCTATTAATGCACAATAATAGACAGCAGATAATGACGAAATTATCATCAAAACACTGTCTCTCTCTCTCTCGCTCTCTCTTGTAAACATTTAAAACGGACCAATTCTGTGTTTAGTTACAGTGTTGACGGAGTTAAAAATACAAAAATGTTACTTCAAAATAAATATTTGTAGTGGTGTTAACACGAAAAATACTTTACCTATATCAACCTCTTGTTTAATGTATCTAGAAAGGAACGGTACGCTGGGGTACAGCCGGAGTGACTCCTTGATGCAACATTCCAGGTACCTCATCTTTCTCAAGTCTTCAACTGTCAATTGTCTCTGAGAGCCGCTGTAAATATCTTTTAGCTCTTCGTATATACGTTCCTGGAAAATGAACATTAAATATATTACTATAAAACATGAAATTGCAAAGATGATTTCTTGCATGGGTTAATACTTTAGTTTTTTTTTAACGTTGCCCGACATTGTGATTTTCTTCACTGTCATGGGTGCGTTTACAAACACATCAACAGCTAGAACAACAATTTATGGATTACACAATGTTCTGTTTCATGTGGGAATTGAACCCACGGCGCTTTGTACAGTAGCCAGTTGTCCAGTTACAGCGCTAACCTACTCTTGTCCTTTTGAGAAATGAGAAATACGAATTTGACTTTTATGCTCAGGGTGTAATTAATCATTCACTGTTTTCCGTCTCGCGTAATAAAAGGTAGACTATAACGTAAGAATCAAATTAGAAAATAGCATAATAATTCTTTTAGGGCTGATTTTTCAATAGTCAGATAAATGTTATCTGTGGAATAAAATTGTCGCTGTGACTGTCTTATACAAACATTTTGACGCGACAGCATCATAATATTATTATACCCCACGTAACTTTTATCTTATCATTAAAAAATCAGCCCTTAATGAAAGTAATATAACTCGAACTGCTTGGCGTACCTGCGACCACTCGAAAAACTGTTAACTTTTCTTTTTTTATGTAATAGGTTGGCAAACGAGCAGACGGATTACCTGATGGTAAGCAATCAGTGCAGCCCATGGACACCCGCATCGGAGGAGTTACGAGTGTGTTGCCAACCTTTTAGGGATTAGGGATTTGGAGATTTAGGGATTGGGAGAGGGGAAGGATTGGGCCTCCGGTAACCTCACTCACACAGCGAAACACAACGCTGTGGTTGTTTCACGCCGGTTTTCTGTGAGGCCGTGGTATCACCACGACCCATTCGTGTCGAAGCATGGCTCTCCCACACTTAAACTTAACTTAATTATATGTTTTCTTGTAAGCATCACGTAAATATTTACCTTATCAATTAAACACTTATTGCTAAATGTTGTCATTGCTATGTGAAGGTCAAAGGTGAGTCGGACGGTCAAGATTCATTTCAACTATAAACTTTAAGTTTTATTCAAGATACAATAGCTGAACAATAGGTGCGCGAACGCTGGCGTTAGTTTGGGGTTTGTTGGATTAATGTACATAACATGATTACCAAGGATTTCATCATTACCTGGACTGCTGATTCGTTAGCGATCCTCATAACCATAAAAGTCAACGCTGCCGCTGTGGTGTCGTGGCCCTGAAACGATTTATTTAATTTTTACCAAATGTATTTATTTATTTACTAGCGGCCTGCCTCTGCTTCGCACGGGTGCATTGCTAATACACTGCTCAATTTATCAAATATTTTATGGATGTAAATTTACATTAAGATCTTCCTCTTCAATCACTCTATATATTGAAAAATCGACTTTTACTATGTAGTGATTTGGCTCACCAACAATTGAGTACAGTATGGCCGACGTATCTTGGCAAGTCTGAAGTTAGCCGTTTGTCTGCGCAATGGATCTTTTAGGAACAAAATTGTGTACTGCGCAGCTAATCGGCTAACTTCAGACTCGCCAAGATACGTTGGCGGAATTGTACACTCGAACAATTGTGGGTTACATTGTAACAAATCGGATTAGGTGTATCAATCACTTACAGGTAAGCACATCCTACTTTACATATTATTGAATTAAATTTATAAAAGCTACTTAAAATTATATGATATTTATACAAACACAACAATCAGACACTTTAGGTTATATTAATACTTAAAATAAAATTGTCATAAATCACTTAAGATGAAATGAAATTACTATCGGAAAGATAATCGGAATTAAAATCATAATAAAATTAAAGAAATTCAGTCTCTGGACAATTTTAAATCGTCAGCATACATGAAACAGTCGGAGATAATAGATACATCAAAAATAAATTATTTTGGATACAATCAACAGAAAAAAATATTCTATTTTTGACGTTAAAAAATGCTGACGTTTTATGCGGAGATTTCATAGAAAATTATCATTTGGCATTTCACTTTTTGACAATAACCGTATTCAGTTTTTTCGTTAAGTTATTGATCAGTAACTTAGTTAGCTAAGAAGATTAAAATGTTGGTGTAGTATAATACCGCCGACGTATCTTGGCCAGTCTGAAGTCAGCCGATTAGCTGAGCAGTACGCAATTTTGTTCCTAAAAGATCCATTGCGCAGACAAACGGCTAACTTCAGACTCGCCTGTATGTTGATGTGGAATGCGTGCTTACATACCTCAAACAAGAACGTGTCCACTTCTTCCAGAACCCCATCGTTGTCTATATTTCCTTGCTCTTCTTCATCTAGCAAGATATCTAACAAAGCTGGTTTAGTTTTCTTCTCAAGCAAATTTTCTATAACCGGACTGTTACTATTCAAAATCCTTTTTTGTCTCCTTTTCTCAACAATCTGTTTAGTAAAGTTATGTAATTCCTTTACTATAGATTTTTCTTTTTTTGCATTAAATGACCATTTGTATAAAGTTTCGTCTAACAGCCAAGGCCGGGTCAGTCTATAGATAAGACATTTTCCCATATCGTGTATAGATTTAAGATACTTGTCAAACGCTGGCGTGTCCTCTACTTTTGTACCAAATGATGTCTCTAAAATGAAAAAGGCTTTAATAGTTTTGATTGTATTTGTCGAATAGAATTCTAAACCTACTGCGACGGTCATTGATATGTATAGTAGGGTTTGTTATATTCATTGATCTATGGATCTTGATGACCAATCCAAATAAAATAATAATACAATGACAATCCAATAAATGTTTTAATTTAATGACGGTACTGAACAATTGACTTATTGTGAAACATTAACCACTAAACTCTGGGTTACTGAAAAAGCTTTTTTTATAAGATTTATTGAACACTTACAACGCCATGTCGGACAATGCTGTCCGACGCTAGCGAAGGATTAGCCTTAAACAGTTTTTGTCGGCAGTCAAATGCTTAATATAATAACTGATAAAGGCGACTTTCTTAGAAGAAAGTGTAGATAATATTCGAATATAAAATATCCTATTCGTTCAAAACAATTATGATGTATTCTATTGACTTACCACACATAACATGAAGAGTTGCTTTAGTGAATAAAGGCTTCAAGTCAATTTGTTCCTTATCATTCTCATTTTCAATATCCAACATTATATCCTGTGTTCTCTGACGGAAAGTATGAAAGTACTCGTTAAGTATTTGAAAGTGAAATGCTGGAGTTAGCAATTTACGACGCTGATGCCATTTTTCACCTGAAATAAAATGCAATAATGTATATTAAATTAAATTAAGTGTGGGAGAGCCATGCTTCGGCTCGAATGGATCGGCTCGACCGGAGTGATACCACGGCTTCACAGAAAACCGGCATGAAACAACCACATCGTTGATTTTTGCCGTGTGAGTGAGGTTATCGGAGGCCCAATCCTTCCCCTCCCCCAATTCCTCCTCAATCCCTAAATCTCCAAATATCTTAACCCTAAAAGGTAGGCAAAGCAATCGTAACTCCTCCTTGCCGGTGCGAGTGTCCATGGGCGGCGCTAATTGCTTACCATCAGATAACCCGTCTGCTCGTTTGCCGATCTATTACACAAAAAAATCTATACTATGTATTTTCTGTTCTGTCATATTTGACTAGTGTAAATAATGTAGTTTGTTAATAACTAGTTCAAAAGTTTTATCATTAACGGCTTATTCACGTTACTTTTTGACGAGGAACTAGACTGCTTTAAGCTACGCTCGGGACTCGTATTAATATTGTTTTTTTTTATGTGATACCCCTAAGATGACCCACTGACCAATAGGTCGGCAAACGGGCAAATGGATTACCTGATGGTAAGCAATCAGCGCCGCCCATGGACACCCGCAACGACGGATGAGTAACGAGTGCGTTGTCGACCTTTTGGGGATTAGGGATTGGAAGATTTTGGGAATTAGGAGGGATTGGGGGAGGGGAAGGATTGGACCTCCGGTAACCTAACTCACACGGCGAAACACAACGCTGCGGTTGTTTCACGCCGGTTTTCTGTGTGGTATTACTCCGGTCAAACCGACCCATTCGTGCCGAAGCATGGCTCTCCCACACTTCAGCTTGGTAGCAGCTATAACAGTGAACGTCGCGTAGCTAACTGCTAACTGATTGGCTAGGCGACATTTGCCCTTTTTGTCGCTTTGTTATTGTTATTGCAGCTAATTTTTGTACTTCCTTCTTACTTAAGATTATGTGTGACTAATATTGGTATTATGTGATATATTTAAGTTGACTAGCGTGTATTTACCTTTGCTCACCAACAGTCCTTCACGAAGCCAAGTGTACAAAAATGTGTAAGGCAAATTCTTCTCATTGTATGTGGTTGAAGAGAGTATCATCTGAAATGCGACAAATGTTAGTAGAAGTCACACTTCTTCTGACACTTTTGGTGACGAAATCACGTTAATAGAACTTTTTAGGTAACATTTAATTTCAATTTTTTTTGTTACTTTCAATAAACTAGTGCTTGACTGCGATCCCACCTGATGGTAAGCAGTGATGCAATCGTTGATGGTAAGGCGCACTAGTTTATTAAGAGCCTATTCACTCTAGCCTTGAAGACACCTAAATTATATTTGGACGGAAAGACTGCAGCCGGCAAACTATTCCAATCCCTCGATGTACGCGGTATAAATGACGAGGTAAAACGCTTAGTTTGGGCCGCAGGTGTCTCAACAACGTAAGGGTGGATATTCGCCGTACGTTAATTGTAATTGTTTCTCTTAAATCGGAAACTGGTAATTACTCTTTCGAGATCCAGATCGAACGGGATGTTTTCGTAACATTTGTCTTAAATAAAGGTATAAAAATAATACTGAGTACTTTTACGTACCTCAATATCGTTTGGATGAGATATAGTCACACTGCGCAAATTCAAAGCTTGCATTTTCCAGATGCGTCCGTATGTTTTATTGTATAATCTTGTATCGGTGAATAAATCCTCTAAAAAGAAAATTAATATCAGATGAGTTATGGATTAAAATATCCTGAGATTGACGTACAAAATTAATTTCTTTTACAAAATAGAAAATAATATATCACCCAAGAAAAAAGTAAATGTTTCTCTATCCTCCTGAGATTTGGAGAGCAGTTAAGTTACATACAATTTCAAATTTAAGCCCCATTTACACTTTGAAACTTTTTTGCCTGTTGATGCAATTACTTAATTTAAGCAATGATTGACTTGAATTGTCTACAACCATAAATGTTATTTTATATAATGCTGAGCATTTAGACAATTATGGTGCATTAAATTATTTTAAATTATTTTTGCATGAAATTGTAGGAATCGCCGCCACACGTTGCTGTGTTTTGTGAGCGTTTTAGGGGTTACAGTATCGGGGAAGGACATGGGAAGTCATTCAGTCTTCGATTACCTCATTCAAACGGCAAACCACGTGGTTGTGGTTGTCCCGTGATCGTTACGATAGAACCGGCCCATTCATTCCAAAGCATGGCTCTCACACTCTTAAAATAAATCATTCTATTCACCACATGGAAAACAAAAGTGATCTACATAACGTCATCGTCGGAATATATGTATTTTTTAATTTAAATAACCAGTTCTGTTCTCGTCCACGGCCTATTCGTAAAAGTTTGACGTCACAACGTACGGTTAATATTGGCAAATTCTTAAATACATAAGTTTAGTTTGGGATAGGTTATGTTTTAATAACTAAGAGGATTGCTGAGTGGTTTTTTGATTAGGCCTTAATACATTTTTCGTAACGTCGTGGTGGCCGGAGGTTAAGGCACCCGCTTTTCATGCATGAGGGTGCCGTTTCAAAACCTGGCAAGTTCTAATGTGTCTTGTTTCAGAGTTACCTATATGTACTTTCTATAATTATTTAGACAATACTGACATATGGTGAAGGAATATTGTGAGGAGTTATAAGTATGAAATCGCTAATTCGCCTTAAGCGCGTGAATAATGCTCAAACCTTCTCTGTCTAACTAGAGGCGTTTGCTTAGTAGTGGGCATTTATAGGCTGATGATGATGATGAAATTACCGCTATGTTACCAATATAAATCATCCTGAAATGAACTTGAAAATTAAAGCTTTTGTGTCTCGTTCTTGTGGTCGTTAGCGCGGTTACTTCAATGTTTTAGAGGGGTCGAGAATCTTGAAGGTCATACAATGAAATCATAGTTCTAAATTGAACGAAGCAGTACAGCAAACTGGCAGATGAAATGAATTAAACACCCGTATTTAATACTAACTCCTAAAATTTTTGAAGTAGACCGGTCTAAGCTGACCTTGGACCGTGCTAACATGTAATAGCAAATTTGTCTAAAGGTTATCCACTTCTACCATTGGTTTCTATTATCTGTGCATTAAATAAATGCATATTTTTAGATTTATTTATAAATAGACGTCCGCATATTTATAAATAGATTTCTATATTTAGAATTACAATTATAAAATCTGTATTTATTAGCACCGAGGTTACGGAAGCATTTATTTGCGGATTGCTAAATTGTATTTATATTCTTAATATAGTCTTTTGTTTTTCGAGGTTGTTTCTATTTTTAGCTCAAACTATTTTTAGACGTCTAGTTGAACGACTTGGTTCGATATTCGATTGCCAAGGGAAATGGACTAGCCTTGATTTAAAAATGTTGATTTATAAATTTAAGATACGGACCTAATATAGATAAAAATTGTAAATCAAGTCATGCATAAAAGTGATTTTATGTATCCATGTATTTGGATATTTTAAGTGTGGAAGAGCTATGATTCGGCGCGATTGGGTCGGCTCGAATGAAGAGACACCACGGCCTCACAGAATACCGGCGTGAAACGATATTCACATTGTGTTTCGTCGTGGTAACCCACACAAAGCCGGCAACCCAAGTACAAGTGTACTAACACCTGTGGTATTACTGGCACCGATTGCTTCACATCACACCATCAGCCTATAGGTGCCACTGCTGAGCAAAGGTCTCTTCTCCAACGAAGAAGGTTTGAGCATTAGTCACTACGCTTGCTCATGGCGGATCTTCTTACGATGAATAGTGGTGTCTAAATATTCATAGAAAGTACATATAACTCAGAAAAAGTCACATTGGTACTTGAAAGTTGAAAGTGTAAGCTATCGAACAAAACCATTGATGGATATGGAGTAAACAAACTGCATGGAGTTGTCAAAATGCAAATCCAAACTAATATTAAAAATGCGAAAGTAACTCTGTCTGTCTGTCTTTTCTTCACGCCTAAAGTAATGAACCGATTTCTGTTTTATTTGGTACAAACAAAGTTTGGAACTCGAGAAAGAACATAAGATAGGTTTTTTTTACCAAAAATCTGCAGGAAGACACTATTCCACGCGAACAAAGTCGCGGGCAAAAGCTAGTAATTCTATAAACGACGAAGTTACGCCCGAATATACAATATTATTTAAAAGATGTCTTTGTATTTTTTACTCACTTCAACAGTTCACAGGTAAACTCATATAAGAGTTATTAGGTTGGTATAAATCTTAGTTTACAATATTTATATACCAGGGCTCCGGCACGAGTAGAGAAGGAGAGGAGTAACAGGCCCTTTAGTCAGTAAGAGTTGAATACTCCTTCACGCGGTGGGGGAAGACATTTGATGATTTTCCGCCCTCAAAAACCAGTCTTCAAGTCAACCTCTATCTACCGGTCAACAATTATTTTTTTTCTAAAATTAAACGTTGCCCAGAATTCGGATTTTCTCTTGTGTCGTGTTTGCATTTACAAATATACAATGTCACCTACATATCACACCTAGAACAGGAACAACAAATTGTGGATCAGACAAAGAGTTAATCAATAGGTTGTACAATGCGGCCGACGTATCTTGGCGAGTCAGAAGTTAGCCGTTTGTCGGCGCAATGGACCTTTTAGGAACAAAATTGTGTACTGCGCAGCTAATCGGCTAACTTCAGATTCGCCAAGATATGTCGGCCGCACTGTAAGTTGTAAACTTGGACATTTTAGCAACTTATATGGCTCCTTCCACACTTAAGATTACTGGTGATTACAAAATCAATTCAAATGATAGATTCAAAGATGATTTTTCTCAAATATACATATAGTATGTTTTTTATGATTACGTAAGATAAAACTAAGTTCACGTAAAAGTTCATCATATAAATGTTTTCATGCACATCTTGATATAAATGCTATGTTAAATCTAAAAGTAGGTAAATATAAAATAAACCACCGAAATGTATGTATGAACCTAACTTCCACACTACATGATTAAATTGGATTTAATTCATTTTGTGATCTGTGTTTATCGTTAGAACAAGATTTGGACGAAGGAACAATTTGACGTAACTATTTAGAAATAGCACCAGGGCAAGGCAGGGGCAGGCTGGTAGTTTTGTAGCAAACTGTGATTTTGATTTAAGAATTAATTAATTGATAGTATTCTCTGTTATATTCGATTAAGTTTATTGAAATAATATGCTTATGTATCGCTCACTTTATTTGACATTTCATAAGATATATTTTTTTAGTACTCGAACGAACTTACTAGAATATTATACATTTCCCAGTATTTCGTAATATTCGTGAAATCCCTGATATTATTATTTTCCTGCGACAAAATTGTATAATAAAATATCTATTTACCAATAACCACTCACTTTAGAATTGCATATAGGCAATTTAATTGAAGAAGATATATGTTTTGATAGACTGTGAGAGTAAGATAAATAACAGAACTATTTTATTGCTAATTCATTCATCGTCTCATTGAAGTAAAATAATGGTGGAAATGAAATGAAAATTTTTATCTAAATTTCCCAATTTGTTTGAAACTGCCATAAAATTAACAAGTAATTCAGGTATAATATATGTGTACAGGTAGACCTCATATAAGTAGCAATATAAATGTAATTTAGTACCAGGATTTATACTTGGACTTAAAAAAAAGACTTTTGAAGGGCTATGTCATTAGCATCAAATATTTAAATAAACATAAATTTAAATCATTTAGTAAATATCTCACTCTTATAACGTTTTTGTATAGCATCGTATCCTCTCTCAGCAAGCAAAACCTCTGCAAGAATGATCCGAAATACGAACAAGGTATTGTTTAACCCGAAGAATAGGAATTAGGGCAAAATCTGTCAGCAGTATAGACAATGAGTACATACCCTTAGTCCTGTAGAGAGTCACAAAGTTTCCAAGCACGGGCAGTTCGGGCGGGCCCGGAATTTCGGCCATCAGGCGACCGGCGTGACACCATCGGAAGTACAAGGGTATTGCCACAAGGACAAAGCAGACTAACCATAGTAGGTATATGATCATTTTGTCAGCGCTCAGCGCGTGTGTTTCAGTCAACTGTTGCAGCAGAATGCCATGAACAGTGATGTTCTGATCATGTACATGTTAGGGCAGGCACAGGTCACGCGGTCTCTCTCAACTAGACTGGCCAGTTAGTTAGTGCATGATACATACATACATACATACCTACTGCGCGATTTTGAAGAATTGTTGAAAATTCTGGATCATTCTCCGTTTTTTTATTGTAGGTCATAGAGAAAAAAAGATTGGTTTATTTTCAGGTTGTTAAGTGTGAAATAAAGTTTATATATATGTACCGATTTTTACGTCATGTTAATTTGGTTAACTTATGTGTGTGCTCTTTGTGAAAATATCAAACGTTAGATTTTGGAAGCTTCACTTTTGTTCCGTGTCATGGAATCAATCATCAAGTTAACAAAATGGCTGTGCAACGATTAATGTTCGGTGGAGAGATGGTTTTTATAATTTTGAAAAGTTCGTTCGTTTCTACAACATGGGTGTACATTGTAAAACCTATCTATGTGCTTATTTTTATCTATATACTATAGTATATACTATTAGTATCTATATACTACACACTTCTAAGTAATCATAGTACCTACAGTAGAAAGTATTAAAAATATGTAGGTATTGGTATTAAAAATATGTAGGTACTGTAGGTACCCAGTACTTAATTCGGCAACTAATTAATTTAATTTAAAGTACCCACTAAACTTAAGACATATATAGTAAATATTATGTAGTAGGTATGTATAGTATAGTATGTTAAGTTGCCAATTAAATTATTATAATTTAATTTAATTTATAATTAAATATATTCCATTTTAGTCCTCTGGAGTGATACTGATATTACCTTAACCTAACTCCCCGACCTCTAACCCCCAAAAGAGCGGAATCGCACTTGTGAACCGATCGCTTACCATCAGGCGCTCATCTCATCTGCTTATTAAACTCCGCTTTTTTGATGGGGGAAGTCATTAAATGCCTGTTCTCGCCCCGAGTGGGACGAAAGCGAGTGTCAAATCTCGTACCTAATGATTAAAAAAACCACACCGTTTATTCCTCTGCTCTAAGCTGTTTGTATTATGTTCTTTGCTATTAAGTTGACTACAACCTATGATATATGGTGTTTTTTTGGGAGGGAAAAATCATTAAATTTCTTGATCTGTCAAGGGTGGGGCGAGTTGTCAGACTCTTACTGACTTAAAATCACAATGGTTCCTTCTCCTTCTCCAGGCCGAGGCCGCGGACAATATGTGGTTAAAGTTTGCTAGTCTTAAAGTCCTAAATCAAATTATAAGTCTCATTATAATATCACTCATTGAAAAGTCAGATATTTGGTAATGAACTTGACATCTTGTGTTCAGTATTCATTTGTAATTTACGACTAACTAATTAATAAAAAATATCAAATTGAAAAATGCTAATTCCTTTACAAGTTGAATGAATTCTTGTGACTTTGTTTTGCCAAATATTTATATTCGACTTTGAGATGGCACGGTTGATGAATATCATTACTTAAAGTGCATCCAAAAATATTAATACCTATACATAGTATAGAGACGAAGATTGGAGAGCGAAAAAAATAAATAAAAATTAAACCTGGTTACTAAAATAACATCGATACCTAATATTTATTTTTGGTTTGGTGTTATTTTTAGTTTGTTGTCTAACGAGAACCCAAAAATAACAAGATTCCATATTATATTTAAAATTTAATCTTATGCAATTATTACCTCGCTAAGATTTGGCGATCCACCTATCTTTTGATTTACCTACTACTTTTGATTTTTTAATACAATTACCAGTACAAGAATTAAGGGTATCAAAGCATTTTATGATGGTTTCATATTTAAATTTTATATTATATTTCATCATCATTATCATCATCATCAGCCTGATGTCGTCCACTGCTGGATATATTATATTTAACACCATATGAATCAGGATAATAGGTATTGGGGTGCGCGCAGAAGACCTCCCCGTGCGTTCGGCGGCTGCTGGTCCCTTGCGGATACGTCCGGGGGGAAGAGCAGTCGTTGGACCGGTGCACCCTGGGTACGGACAATAATCTCTTCGCGTAGTGCAGCGTAGAGGAGTATTATTGTCCGGAGCTAACTTCTGCAGGAGGGGTCGCTCCTGCCCCGTCGACGTAGTTGATTAGGTAAGGACGCGGCCACACCTGCTTCGACGCAGGCGCGTCAATGCGGGGTTTGTTTGTCTCCTCGTTCATTGAGGAGCAAACGTTTCGGCGGGTCCGCTGAGTCGGGTTGGCCGGACAGCGGACGGAGGCATGTCTTAATGCCGCCGTCGGGGGGCTTGGCTTTGCCGCCCGGCCCCAGAGGAAGGACACCTCTAAGATAAAAAACCACCCAATCCCAAGTTTCGGGAGCGCGGCGAGGGGATGAATGGCCGTTGGGTGTACGGTCGTTAGCGCTTCCACCTGCTGGTACCTGCCGCCCCCAGCAGTATGTAGGCTTACCCGGGTACCTAAGCCTCTGCCCGGGGTTGACCATTACTTGCTTTGTACTCGTGGGAACAATATGGAGACCCTAACAAATAAAATTCAAACAAAAAATGACGAGGTGGGTGAAACAGTACCAATGGTACTAATCGAGCGGAAAGGTGTTCTGTCGGACTCAGATAGCGTGTCAAGCCGTATGAGTGTGACGAGCGCGGTGAGCGGTAATTTAAAACGCTTACGCAAACGCCCAAGAGAAGGTGCAGACTCAGGGTCGGAATCGGGCCTGAGCGATATAGCGATGCCGGCCCCCAAGGTCGGTGCTAAAAAAGGAGGAAGAGGTAGGCCCGCCACCACCGGCAAATATGTTGGTGTTGGCCTATCAAGGCGTGAGGCTGCGGCTGCAGCGAAAGCCGCAGCACTCGCCGATAAACTAGAGGAGGATGAGCGGCAAATAGCGGCTCTGACGAAAAGAGTGACGGAAGGGAGAGTCAGTCGCCTGTCGGAGTCCTCAGCTGTCGTCTCGGATGTAGGAGTCGAGGCAGAGGATCTTCCTGCCTCCGACCTAAACCAAAGGCTGGTTGACGCGGTTGCAGCAATCAGGCAGGTGAGCAAAGTCTCAAAGGGTCTTAGCGGCTGCAGCAAGAAGGCACTTAAAGAGGCCACGGCCTCCATTCTGGAAAGTACTCAAGTACTATTAACACGTACCGTTACAGAAGAGACGGCCCTGCTGCGGGCCCAAAACAAAAAGCTCGCAGCACAAATGGCGGAGCTCCGTAAGGAGCATGAGGAGCTCAAGGCCGAGATGGTCAACTTCCGCCGAGAGCACCTCAGGCAAGAAGTGGGCCTTGCGCTCCCGACGCAGCAACCGCAACCGCAGTTGCCATCACAGGAGACCGAGTTGACTCGCCTGATCCGTAAGGAGATGGCAAGTTTTAATGCGCGCTTCTCGGTCCTGGAGGGGAAGATTCTGCGTCCACCCCTAGCTGCAGACCAGCGCAGCACTCCAACATATGCTGCCCAAGCCGCAACGCCCCGTGCCGCCCAACCGGCACCAGCGGCGGCTGCGACACAAAAAAGAACTGCCGCCTCGCAAATGAAAACTGCGGGGCCACAATCAAATAGGCAGTCAACAAAAGAGGCCAAAAAGACAGGGGCCACTGCTCGGCCAGCCAAGCGTGAACCCGCTACTAGACCCGAGGCGGAGTGGGCGGTAGCAGGCGCCGCCAAAAAGACCAAAAAGGCACGCCAACGGGCCAAAAAACAGGCCCAGAAAGAAGAGGCGGCTGCGAAGTGCCAAAACGCGAGGCTCAGCTCTCCCCGCTCTACAGCAGTGGTACTCACCCTGCAGCCAGGGGCAGAGGAGCGGGGCCTTACCTACGCCGGGATTCTAGCAAAGGCGAAAGCCGAGATTTCGCTGAGCGATCTCGGCATTACGGGTCTCCGATGCAAGACTACAGCAACCGGTGGCCGCTTACTGGAGGTATCGGGAGCTACCAGTGGCTTCAAAGCCGACGCTCTCGCCGACAAACTCAGGGCGTCTCTAGGCTCGGAGGAAGTAAGAGTGTCCAGGCCAACCAAGTGTGCAGATCTGCGTATTTCAGGCCTGGACGACTCCGTTACGCAGGAGGAGGTCACCGCTGCCATCTCCAAGGCCGGAGGATGCCCGCCGGAACAAATCAAGGCGGGCACGATACGTCGAGGTGTCTCCGGTCTCGGGACAACTCTCGTCAGCTGTCCCGTAGCGGCGGCCAAAAAGATCCAAAACAAGCGGCTCTTGGTTGGATGGGTCTCAGCGCAGGTCGCATTCTTAGCTCCCAAGCCCTATCGGTGTTACCGCTGTTTGGAAGAAGGACACGCGGGGGCACGGTGCACCGCGGGCGTAGACCGCAGCCAAATATGCTTCCGCTGCGGTCAATCCGGTCACAAGGCTAGCACTTGCACTGCCAAGCCGCACTGCGTTATCTGTGCGGCATCTGGCAAGCCAGCCGACCATCCGACCGGAACAAAGGCCTGTGCCAGGCCCAAGAAGAGAAATGCCAGGAGACAGCCGGTTCATCCGCCAGCTAGTATACCGGTCTTGATGCAGAAGGAAACCAGCTCGTCGCAGCTGGTTCACCCACCGGTTGCGGCAGATCATCCGCCGAGCGCTGGGAAGGAGGCAACGGCCATGGACACTCAATAATGGCCTTACGTCGTCTCCTCCAAGCCAACATAAACCACTGCGCCAGGGCTCAGGATCTCTTGCTCCAGAGCATGGCGCAGTGGTCGATCGACGTCACAGCTGTCTCCGAGCCATACTTTGTGCCACCCAGGGATGACTGGGTGTGCGACACGAACCGCTCGGTGGCACTGATTATGAGGTCTGCCGCCGACACCCTTCCCTTCGAGGCCGTCACCCGAGGGCGGGGCTATGTCGCGGCAGTTTGGGGAAATGTCATGGTCGCGGGGGTATATTTCCCCCCCAGCCTATCTCTCGCCGACATGGAGGATATTATCTCAGAACTGGGCACGGTCGTCAGTCGCAGCCATCCTCGTCCCG